GCGGATGTCACCGGATACATATGATTCATTTGCGATAAAATAACGATGCGAAAGGAGATCAAAGTGCACTGTACTTTTATTACTTGTATCACATTTCCGTGGCTCGATTTTAAGATGGGTAACACTTTTCGAAAACTTACCAAGCGTTTTCTCGTCGGATCGGCCGTCGAAGAGACGCCGATATTCGTGTCGAAAATTGCCAGTTACGCTCTTTTTTTTTTCGGGCAAGACCGCAGCGGTGGAAAAAGTAACGGGTGTAATTTCCTCACGATGTGTGCCACGTTTCCTCTTTTTGGATGGCGGGTTCAAAATGGCCCGAAGTGCTCGCCAGCCACGGATATCCGGGTGCGCGTGGATGTCTGTGCACGGAGCATAATTAATAATTTCGGAGCGCGCCGTATGGCCCAGCAAGCAGCCCTTCTTTTTTTCCGTCTCGCACCACTTTTGTTCGTTGAATAATGCCCGGCATCAAGGTGGAGTTCGAAATCACCTGGTCGAATCGCGCTGCGTGGGGTTAAACGCTAGACAACTCGTGTCGTAGCCCCCCCCCCACCCTCCCATCTGCTCGTATCCCTTTTAAATTCAGTCATTTCAATCCCCTGTTCTCTCCCTCTGTCTGCCCGCCAATTTAAATCAACCTTTGGGAAACGCTCGATTCTCATCGTTCGTTCTTGTTTCCAAATTGCTACAATGCTACGATGATCATTTCAATTTGTGTTATAGGAATGCTATGTATAGAGGAAAGTCCTCTATTATGAGATAGGTTTCTAATATAGATAGCAGGTTTTCAATACCTAAATTCAATTACAAATTTTCGCTACGATCACACAATCTAACAGTGAATTTTCTACAAAACAGATTTCGCTCCAGGATTTAACGGAAACCCTATCTTATATTAGGAGACTGTTTTATAATAGGATACTTTCCTCTATATATTGTTTTTCTTGTAAGAATCACATTTTCTGCGAGCTTCCGCGCTTGCAATTTTAAGAAGAATTTCTATAAACGTTGTGTCAATTACATTAAACTATGGATAATGTCAGCTGTCTTTGTCGGGTTGAAATTGAAACACGCATTTCCAAACGCAAAAACTCAGGGAGACCAACCGAAAATTTTGATCGGAATGTACGATTGTTACGCGCGCGATAATAACCATCAAACGGGTCGAGCGAATGGTGTATACACATGATAGCGGTCGTATTGTTATTCGATATTGTTTTTATTCTTGTGTTGCGCTCACGCAATGCGATAGAGCGCATTCGAATTTATCTGGGAGAACGGCATCGTCCGGTACAGAAATGGGCTGGGGTGACGCGGACGCGGAGAAAATTAGTTAAACCACCTCTCCCGCGTCCACCTCTTTGGGGACCAGTTCGATCAATAGCGAAGGAAAGATATCGCACGCGGATTTGTTTAGAATGTTTTGAATCCTGTAACTGCGTTACGTATATAAAAAAAGATTCCGAGACATGGAAACTTTGACGTGCTTCTTTTTGTCTCGTCGTTGCAATAAAAATATTCCATAGATTTAATTCTGTTGTTGGAAATTAACAAAGTTGAAAAATTGGTGTTTTATTGTTTAAAAAAATGCTGGTTAAAATTTTGGCGTTAAATGTTTGACACATTCATGCGTTAATTTAACATACTTATTCCTCTTGTGTTAATTGACGTCAAATGTAAAATTATTAAAATAACTGAAACGAAATGTTAAAACAACACAATATGTACTTATTTTTTAATCTGACACAATACATATGTTCTGTTTTATTAGTAACAAAATTCAACTGTTAAATTTACAGAATAAAATGTTGATTTTATTCTATATAACTAGTGAGAGTGATTTCGAACCGTCATTTGATTTATTACATCTGTAAAATGTCAAAATTACATTTTTTAAATTCATTTTGTCACTAAAAATATGTAAATTTTACACAAAATTTATTTCAAACTATTTTGAGATCTGCATTTATTTTGTGTTAAAATATTATAATGACAGAGTATGATTATTTATCATATCCATATTATGTTAAATTAACACAAAATTTTTATTTAACATAAATTTAGTTAAATTTAACATAAATTTGTCAACTGTGTAAGCTGTGTTTTTTTAAGCGACGAAAATACTATTTTTCAATATTGCGAATTTCAATGAAAATTCAGTATAAAACAGTGTATACTAGTGATTACCAATCTTCTAAAATTAGATCTATTCTACAATAAATTAATATATGTTTACAAATAATTAACGTAATTTGTATGTGAAATCGAGAGAGAGAAATTTTGTAAATCGTTCTAAAATCGTGTTTCTCACGAATTTGATTGAAAAATTGTTTGAGTAAATGGTATATTATAATAATATGAAGTTAACTTCAGACTTCATTATATTAAACACTGAATTTTTTCCAGAATAAATCGCGTGTTATTACGTTCTTTAATGAAAAAATGACGTCAAAGTCAAACAAATGGTGGTTATATTTTTGATTGGTCAACTCCGCCGTACGTTATCTGTGTTGTATCGGTCTCCCATTGTACCCATATCGCCCTTATGTTACGCGACGTGTCATGCAAATCTCCTGATTAGCTCAAGTGTTAAGATTACGCTGATGCTTACGCATACGATTTTACGAGCCATTTGCTTGCAGCTGTGTGATAATCGTTGTACGTGACAAGGTAACTACAAGATACAGACAAGTTCAAATGGACATTCGATGTAGGATATTTTCCTGACATATTTATGTGACGTGGGCAATTTTTTTTATTGAAAAACGTGAAACAAATGATAAAAAGCTACGTTAATTGATTCTCTGTCTCTTCTTAGAGAACAATATAGAAAAAGATAGAGAGTTGGCTGAACTCTGGTTAACAGCTAACCAACGTTTGTGAAATGGGCCTTTATAGTAACATCTCGATTATTTTAATCAGTTTTGCCTCCAATGATAATAATCGGTATCATAAAAGTGTTATATCGCTAACTGATTAAAGACGGTATAAATTCGTACATTGATGCCGTTTGAGTCATAATTAGGTTGATGAAGAATCGCGCGATTAGTGCCGCCCGCAAATATATTGCTGTATGCGAGCTGAGAACAAGTGAGATTTGTTTTCTAGAAAGGCTGCCGCGCATAAACACGATCACAAGCGTTTAGTTCTATGCAGTTCATAGAAGCCGACCTTAATAATCGAGGCTGCCTATGAATATCTCGCGCGTGCAAGAGAGGGATCAAGGTCAATTCCATCTGCGATCGAACGCGGTGGTTATTAGACCTCAGGATGTTTTTTTTTAATGATCGTTTAACCGTCGATCTTCGTCGTTTATATATTTCAATTTACATAATCCATTCTTGTACACGTCGCTTTCTCAATTCACTTTACGCTATGTTTCCTTATCGCGTGCTGGAATCGTTGACTTATCTTTTATCTCTATTGTTTCAATATAACTGTATTAACGTGAAACGACGCGTGTATTTGTTCAATGGTGAATATTTCTGGTTAAAAACCTTGATATTTCAATACTCTTGATAGGTTAATAACATTTCTGGGCGTCTAGCAAGTATTACTGTAAATTCAGGCAAGAATATATTGTACAAGTCGGACAGTAAATCTCCTTGTAAATCTTCTTTCGTGCGAGAGTTAAATTGCAAGAAATTTTCTAGTGAGAGATCGAACGTAATTCTTTTATTTTTATTGCGCGTATAAAGAAAATGCACGCTTTCTATACGCTTTCTAAATATTAGAAATTAGTTATAAGTGTTTCTAATTATAAAAACATTGAAAATTAATGGATTCAACATATTCAACTCTTATTGTTGGAGCAAAGAATAAAAGTGTTTATACACAAGTATATTTTAGCGTAAAAAGAAGAGATGGTGGAAGAGAATATAGTCTAGTTGAAGTGAAAAATGTTAACATTAACATAAAATTTTGTACCGTGTATATTTATTTATCAAGCAGGCATTATAAGTGCTACGACACTACAGATTGAAAATGCAGATTCCGTGCGATGTTCGCATCATCCGTCTTCTCACGCAGTCTCGCCGTGATCGAACTGCTTTGAATCACGATGTGGATGTACGTGCCCGTCTACAGAGTGGTAATTTGTTTGTAATTTAGTAAGGCAGCGCGGTCGAAAGTTTGGTGCAGAGAATGTAGCACGGCGCTAATTCGTCACTGCCGTTGGGTACTGGTTTCGAGGAGCCCTTTCATGGGGCGCAGGACCGACCCAACCAGTGGTACAGTTTGCTCAGAAAGGAGCCATGTTGAGGAGCATGCGTGGATTCGTCTGTCGATAAACCTTCAAATATCAAACATAAAATAAAACGTAATGTTCGTAATATAAAATATATGACAGTTATCGTGGTACTTTTTTTATATTGCCTTTAAAAATTATTTACGAATTATTGCTCACTAAATATTATTTATGTATTTAGGTACTGTGTGAAAATACCAACGTGTTAGAGCTCATAAAATTTATATGGTTTATATTAATCTTCGGGTATTCTTAGTTGCAAGTCGCGTGTACTTTTAGCTTGATTACGATTGATCTTATCAAGTATATCCTGTCATATCCCCACGTTAAAAAAGTCTCATAGGTATTTATGGGTCAATAATGAACAAATTGTAAAAATGATTGTAGAATATTCTGTTTTTAGAGGTAATTTTTTATCATGCATATAGTAATGCGAAAGCAGGACGGATTTCCCGCTTAATAAACGCTATAATATGAATAGCGTGGCTATTTGCACATATTTATCCGCACTGACGTTACATCATTCACGCGATATAACGCTTAGGGGAATTACGCAACGCGACGGAGCCGCATGTTAAATTTACGGAAGAAAAAGAGCGTATTGCGGACATCGTTACGTGCGTGCGGTAAAGCAATGCTAAAAACGAAATCACAAAGCAGCGACTTTACCGAATACACAATGAAACAAAGTACCGCGATGAAAATTTCGACGATCGAAATGTCGACGAGCACTCGACATTGCAGAGCGAATTTACAATGGCTACTATACAAGTTCGCATGCAAATCACTAAATTCCCAAACTCGCATGACATTCGCTGAATGAAAAGCAACTGAGAATAACTGTCCTACGTATGAAATTCGAGTATTGCGACGCGAGAAGAAAGAAGTGCGACAAATACGCTATTTGTTCAAAATTTACTCAAAACTACTTTAGTTATTTTATTAGCCTTTTATAGTCACGTAACAGATGAGGAAGAGTGTGTAACATTTAGTGAAATTTTGTTCAAATTTACGGGATAAATGTAAACGTTTGTCTCTTTCACGGAAAAGACGTGGCACGTTGGCGAATGTGTTTATGTAAAATTATCAAACAATATCGCGCACCTGTGATATTTTGTAACACATGTATTTTATTGAATACTGCACTGTTAAATTTAACTCAATGAGTAGTCGCCGCTTCTGCTTAATATGTCGCTATTTTAATTAAACAATGGAGTTAAAAACTCCATAAATTGAGTTGAATAAAAGTTGTAGCTTTTTAACTACAATTTGTGTTGAAATAATAAATTTTACTGCACATGATAGTTAAAAGTAACAATATATTGAATGGGAGCAGTGGCGACTACTTGTTCAGTCAAATTTGATTCATTGAGTTATTACGAATTTAACAGTGTGTGTGAATTGCATAAAAAATATCTTTTAAATAATTATATTAAATGATACAATTAACTTAAGAGAGAAATAATCAAGTTTTCTAAACGAAAATATTTGAATTGGGTACAACGAGCATTTTCCTCGCTGTGTAGTAAGCTTTTTAAATAGAATTTTTCACAGACAGAAACGTAAACTTTGCGTTATGCCAGTTTCCACTTCAAGACATTCTTGAAATAAAATTAATTAAAGTTTTACTATTAGAAGAGAATGGGCTTATTTAGGATTAAACGGGGTGATTTTTTAAAAAGTTAACAGTATTTGATGGTGATAATACCACAAGTTATATAAAATTTTGAAGTACCGATCTTGATTTTGATAAACAAATTTCTTGATAATGAATACTTTGAAAAATCTCTTTACATGATCAATATCTGTAAGTTCAATAAAAGCACTTGAAGTCGATTTGATGTCATTTGTCAGAAAGCGGAGGATTTGAAAAAAGAAGGAGAGATTTAACCAATTACTACGCGAGTCAGGTCAAGATGCTCGGAGTCTTTTGTTTCACGAAATCTCCTTCGTAGTTTTTTCTTCGGCCCACCAGTTCTTTTCTTCCTTTGTCCTTGTTGCTTCCACGTCGAAATCATAATTCGTTCCTTTTGTGCCGAGTTATCTGCCGCTTCGAACGCATTCTTTTCTACCTGGACTCCGAGCTTCGTTAAAAGTTACAATCTCTGTCCTTCGTATAAGAGCAAGCTATTGTCTCCCTTTGCGGACAGAGTGAAACGATAGTGTTGTAAGATAGTTTGGGTTGCATGTGCACGCGCTTTATTTATTTCTTAGATTCCCTAATATACGTAACAGTGTATGCCTTGTGATTTCAAATTGCTGTATCAATTTCATTGATTATTTTAATAATCCTTGATTTAATCTAGATAATTGTCTCTCTTTACGTCAGTGATTGCGCAATTTTTCGCACCTTTAGACGCGTTGTTAATGCAGGAATGCATTCGCATTGCGCTTCCGTGGTGATTAATTTCGACGGCGCAAAAGAACGATTGTTCTGAAAATGAGGCCTCATCGTTTCATATTCTCCGCATTACAACGTATCTTCCGGGTGCCGCGGGGAATTTATCTGACCGCAGTATCGTTCTATTCTGAAGGAAGCGCGCCTCGTCGGCATAAATCGTAAAATTTAATTAATCAGTCGGTGGTTCCCAGATGAAGCTAGTGTTTCTAGCCATCATTCATCCAATTAATGCGCATACTAACAAGATGCTTCTATTTTCCAACTACGATGACTAAAGCAAATATGTTATGGATATTACCGCGATTTGATCGTAACGCATTTTATTTAAAGCTAATTCTCAATTTATCACATGTTTATCTTGCACGACGAAATTATATCTATCGATTTTTACTAATAGAAAGATATCCTTTTTTTAATACGATTGTTAGCATCAAAAATTAAATAGATTATCGATTTAAAGTATGTGGACTTACTGTTCCAACAGAAGGCTGTGTTTTGAGATTTACAAATAATCGGCGCGCGATATTGAGTTGGAAAAAATGGAGGAAATTGACGCAAAACTATTACTATTAGGCTACCAAGATCCAGCCCGACCGAAATCTCCTCTAATTATTCGTATTTCTTCCTTTATATAAGAGTTTCTCTATTTAAAAAAATTCTTTTATCATTGTTTCTATGTTTTATAGATTCATACAAGTTGCAACAAGCAACATCTATGTTTTTCGCGAAGTCATGAAAGTCACGAAAAACAACTCGTTTCCGCATTGTAACCATATAAGAAAGTCGCTCGAAGCTTTAACCGATCTACTTCTAGCGGTTTGAAGAAAGAGTAGTGGCCCGGTGAACTGGAACGATTTAATTAGTCGTTTAACGAGGTCCCTTTGGCTTTCTCTTGAGAACACTGGCAGAAATCCTTAGCGAGTAATCGTCGAGTGGACTGCACGCGAGTTTTACGATTCTCCAGAATCGCCGTTCCTTCAGTCTGGATGTATGTCCGCCAAGATAGACAAACGCTCGAACGTTGCTGTGTGAGCCAAATGGAGAGAGACGCGGCGTCTATTTTCGGCGCACTTGTTCGTCGCGCTCGTACAAGTTGCACGAGCGTGTATGCGCAATATTTAGGTGTTCGCCACGTCGTGACTGATTCGTTATTCCGCACACATCGGGGATCGGCAACCTCTGGAAGCGTACAAGATTATTTATACCAGCCACTTTGGCGCGCCGTGCCTCATTTCAAGTCCTGTCCGAGATATTCGATTATTATCGATTATGTGCAATTAACTGGCGGTTCTTAGATGTCTGTTCGAGACAGGCGATCTTAATTTGGCGTCGCTTTCTTTCCTCGTTCCACCCTGTTATTTCTTCTTTGTTGAACCTCGATAAAAATTTCATTTAACTGTTATTGTACGTTAACCGCCTGTGAATCGACTCTGACCGTTTTACAATAAAGTCACCAAAGATTCCCGTTGTCGACTCGCTAATGGTTATATCGCCAAGGGATTCATACTTCATTTTCTATTCTCAGTTATATCTCACGTAAGAAATTGTCGTATCTCGAAAGACAAATATTTTAATAACCGTTTCATAAAAATCCCTTTCGGCATTGGAACTGCAAATGCTGTATGAATAAGGCTACATTTTGTGTATATATTAATTTCTATTAATATTTTTATATGCAATTTACAAATGTTTGCAAGATATTAATTGATATTACAACATTACGTTGTATTAACTCTCGATGGTATAATGTGTTGAAAAGACGAAAGGATATTGCGAAAATTGTGGCCCTTGGCTTTCCCTGCAAGGCCAATTGTATGTGAGTGTGCCCCTAGTCTCGTGCAAGTTTCACGCGTGAATAAGCGACAGCCGTGCGCGAGAACTGTGCCAACTGCCAACTATTATGTAAGGCGTCGTGACTCCACCGTCTACACACTTCCTCTGTCTCTCATATTTTCTGTCT